TTCCTGCTGTTGTGGCTATCATAATTAATTTTTCATTCTTCTACTTAAAGTGAATAACCCAATAGATCACTTGTACTTCAGACTTTAAACTCTTCTCCTAAAATGACAAGTATATATTTTTAACAGGCTATTCTTTAGAAGTTTAGTGGGTCAAATTGTGGGACGTTAACTGCTGTGGGCTAAGTGGATTTTCATCTGCTGCATCCAGTTACTTTTTGTGGGTTTAGTGGAATTTGGCCCACTTAACTTTATTCTTGCAGGAAGAATGATGCAAAGTCTAGTATGAAAGAAGAATAAATAAGAAAAGCTATGAAAATGTACTAGAGGAAATGCCAGTGTTACTTTCCTGCTCTTTGACAAAATACTTGTTTCCTGTGAATCACTTTTTAGTGAGCCAGAATTTGCACAACAATATCACAAAGTTATTTTTGATTGTTTAAACACAGAGGTTTTGTTGCTTTTTCTTCCTGCACTTAAGTTGTGTTTGGGTGAAGAACACAAGACAGTGTCAGTGTTGAAATTGTTTTAACCATAAAAATGATAGTGTAAAATCAGCAGTGTAATGTCTAAAGAGAGGGCTTATCACTTTTTTTTAAGGCTAAACCTGACATCTCACTCTTACAGTTACTGATAGCCTAGATGGAATGATTTTAGTATTATGTCTTACATACAATAGCACCAAGAGTTCTCATGTAATCATCAGTTCCTCACTGAGATAAGATTAATGTAGCAAGAGACAGTTGCAGCGTTCGCAGCATACAAACTCAGTATTATACATGCACACAGCTCTGTTGACTTGAAATGTCCATAAATTAGTGTGGTGAATGTCTTTTTGAGTGTTAAGGCTTAGAAATCAGCTTGGCAAAATCTGGTGAAATACCAGTGCTGAACTATTTGTTTTACAGCTTTTTACTGAATCTCAGGGAGGCAGCATAGAGCTATTTTGACAGGTTTATAGTATTTAGTTTCTTACTCGGACTGAAATAAAGTTACAAGGGTAGAAATAGCAAGACAGTGTTGAGAGAAAAATAAGAAATTTTAAAATCATTCTGTATTCCTCTCCTTAGGCATCTCAAAACACCCTAAATTCCATGTGGTATATGGAGGTTGGTTGCATCTAAGTTCCTGTTTTAATGTTTGGAGCACTATGTCTGAGCACTGATGGAAAAACTAGAATCCAGCACTAAACTTACTCATAGTTGCTGCTTAACTTTTTGTACTTATTGAATGAGTAATTGGCAGTTTTGCTTTGGCTTCATGGCTCAAACGTGCTTGCTAAATATACACTTCTGTTATTTTTGCTTTCCTTTTTTTGCATTTACTGCGGCATGCAATATTTGTGCTGTGGGTGGCCCTATATTATGCATAACTCACCTTTTTCCTTTAGCTGCTAATGCAAATATGTTATATTATAGCCTATGGGTGAACTTTAAACAGACAGACAACTTATGAAACCTTGATGTGCAGGTGAGAGAACTTCGAGAAAGAGCAAAGGCTTACAGGCAGCGAGTAGAGGGAACACACTTCTCCCGATATCATCTCAATCAGATCCTGTCTGATAATAACAGTCTTTGGGATGTGTCCTCAAATTCCAGTTCAGAAGAAGGCATCAGCAACAACATCAGAGCACTGGATCTTGCTGGGTAAGGTCATAATTTATGCCTGTTATTCTGTAGCTTTGAAACAGCAATATGCTGAATATAGGCTTAAAGTAGGTGTGAGGTCTTGGATGTTGGACTGTATTGGAGATGTGATTGAACAGGGTGCTAGATAATATTATCAAGGCTCCCTTTCCACAAGAAAGGTTGGACCAGGTGGTCATTCGAAGATCCTTCCAACCTGGGCTGTTCTACAATTCCACGACATGTAAATTCTGTGTTTTGCCTGCTCAGATGTTACTCGTGTTCTTGTCAGGATTAATTTTACGGTTGAGTCTTAGACACTGTTTAGTTCTGAGATGAAGACTTGGGAACTGGAATGGTGTACATCCATTTTCTCCTTTCTCTGAAGGCCATCAGAATTGGCAGATATTAAATCCCGTGCTAGGAAAATTCAGAATTAGTGTTTTAGTAAAATGTACAGACAGCTATTGGTGAAGCAAGGAGCTAAAAAAAAAAGCCATTTGTGTCTTCTCTGAGATCTGATATTTAAAAATCATGTCTTGGATGCCTCTGCAGTCCACTTAAACTGTTGTATGTGTGCTACTTGGCTTGGGTGTGTGAGAGAGACCTATGCATTTGCATGACTGTAGCTCTAATAAGGGTTGGGAGATGACACATAAAGGAGTATTCGTTACACTATAATGTGTGATTTTTAAGTATGGTGTACATTTTTTTTTTAGTTTACTAGTTTGGCTTTTGCCTGTGAAATACAGATCCTCTTACTGATCTCATGTCTGTGCACTAGGCTAATTTGCACTGCTTTCTGTAAGCAGTTGAGAGTTTAAGACACTCAAAAGTGCCTAAAAAAGGAGTCTTCTAAAGTGCGTGGCTTTCAAAATTGTGCCATCAGACAGTCCCTATGCACACAACTAGTTATTTTTTGAACACTTCTGTTAATCTAACTTGTCTAAATTGGAAATAGAGTCCTAATATAACATTCCGTTTTTGGAAATGGTAATCCAGAAAGAGTCTTCATAGAGTCTAGTTTGAAAGTGTGTTGTGATTGAACATCAGTTAAGACTTCAGTGGAAATTTAACCTTTCATTATTTCAACTGTACCACTTTTTATTATCTGAGGTATATTATTATATTGTGCAATCAATGATATGAAATGCTGTTTTCTTTGTTACCTAGAGTTTCTGAAAAAGAGACTGCACCAAGCCCCAAAATGCTGCAGCAACCTGCCTCCAGAGAAGAGCCACACCAGGGCAGCACTGAAAAGAGAGACATGTCAGATGCTTTAACTGTTCCAGTCAAAAGGCGTTTAGCTTGGGGTGAACAGGAAGGTACTGAAGAAAGGGAGAACAGGCCATCAGCAGAACAGAGGGAAAAACAAGATGAACAGACTGCAGTCGTGGCTCGGCAGTTAGAGGAAAATAATAAAGATGCCAATGAAGATAAGAAAATTGAAGGGTAAAACTGAACAGTTTTGTGGTGTATATATATAATTTTTTCTTCAAACATCTCAAAAATTTGTAGGTTAACTAATTTATGGTTTTAAATCGGATTTACTTAAGAGAGTGTAAGTTGGTGTGACACTGCTTTTGTTTTTAACAGTATGATAAGGAATGAGAAAGTTCAAAACACTGAGCTGGTTGATGGAAGTGGATCTGTCATGAAGAATATTAGATTTCTAACTTGCAACACAGAAGTTTGTAGAAGCATGAACAATTCTAATGTTTTTTTTCCAAAACTTTAAAATTTGCAGTATGGGCCTGTCAGCTGCTGTGTAATGAACAGTCTGTTCTAAGTGTAGTGAAAATTAAAGCTTACAGTTTGCTTCAGATTGACACCATAGGTTTGATAGTACTGAAATGATAGAATACATAGTAATCTTGAGCTAAGCATCTGTTTTTCATAAAAAAAATCATGGGCAAAGATAAAGGACTTGGGAGGAAAAAAAATAACTAGCGTCCAGTAATCACCAATGATTATGTTACTGAGCACAGGTGGAAAAAATGTGGAGAGGTGTTTAGAAATAACGAGAGATCAATTCAGTACATGCGTAGTACTGTATTTGACAGTTGAAAGATCAAAATTTTATCTAGTTAAGGAACCTTCTGGCTCTTTGTTGTGCAAGTTTTGCGTACTTTTTTTTGGTAGAACAATATTTTAGTTTGATAGGTATTTAAATTGGAATCACTTTGGCCCTTGTGACTGTGCCATCTAAGCATTTTGTATTCCTCATTGAGTTTTATCTCTGACGTTGCAGCACGAATCTAAGGTAAGGAATTGTAATTGTCTCCTTTGGGGATAGTATCCTGTATGCAAAACCCAGGCAAAGAAAGGTCAAGATGCTAGACTTGAATAGAAATTAAATGCAGGCTTTCAAAACTCTCATCCCGAAAACCTTCGAAAGTTTCTATGTAATTTTAGAGATTATCTAGTTCATATATGTGTCTCTGATTGGCATTGAAGTTGTTCTATCATCCTGCAGTCCTCAACCCTTCTGTTGAGTCTCTGCTTCTGTGCAGCAATACATTCAAGGTTTCTTGGAACAAAGGGAGCCTGAATTTGCAGCTGGAGACTATTTGTGTGTTTTATACAGTTACATAAAAAAATACAGAAACTGAGGTTCAGGGACTGGAATCCAGGACTCCCTGTTGTAGGCAGAGGTTTTAGCTACAGGCTGTTGGTGTTTTATGGCCCTGACTATCTTGCCTTAGGCTTCATTGTAGGAATGTATTGGAAGTAAAAAGCTTGAGTGCAAGACTCCTGAGTCCTTAGCTAATCTTTTAATAATTTTTCATTTTTTTGCAGTGAGAATGCCATAGCATTGAATTCTCCTGCAGCTGTGTCAGATTCTTCTGTATTGTCGAGGACAGGGGGCAGGCTTCCTACTCCAAAGCTGAGAGCGCTTGGTGGAGCTCAGAGGACTCATCATGATCTCACTACTCCAACTGTTGGTAAAAACTTTTAAATGCAAAGAAGTATTTAAAGAACTATTTTTAAAAAATATATTAATTAATTTATTAGATTATTTAAGGTAATAAAGCATTTTTCATCTTCTCCACTACAATAGGAGGTGCGGTTCTAGTGTCTCCTCCTAAACTCAAGTCTTCATCTTCACAGCAGAGATCACGAGGTTTAGGAACAGACCCTTCTTCAGCAAGGCAACGTGCAAGAGAAGCTTCAAAAAAGAGATCCTTCCGGGTGAGCCAGAAAAGAGACTTACCATTATGCATTTTAGGAATGTGCTTTTAAGCAATTGTAAATAATTTATTTCATAATAAAATAATTCTTTTGCTTGAGTTGTCATTTACTATTCTAAAATTGTGTAAATTTGTGTAAATCTGTGACTGAAAAAGGCCAATGTATGAATAAATCATTTTTTGGGGTATCAAGCAGAGGAGTTGAGACTATTGGAGAGAGATGGATGAGCTCCATTTTGGCTTATTCTGCTAAATGCACAGGATCTGTTTTAAAAAGGAGGGGAAAAACAAAGCATCAGGAGCTGCTGATTTCCCTGTTAACATTACTGTAGCTTTCCACTGACATAGGGCACAGCTCCAAATTCATTGACTTGAAAGAAATTTAAGGAGAGGTTGGGTGCCTGTGTACGAGACAGGTAAATGTACCATAATAGTTTCATTCTCCCTTTCTTTTACTTTTGTGCTCCTTTTATTTTGCAGCGTGCACAGTTAATAAAAGAGTAACAGAAATATTTAGGAGTTGTTTAACTGTCTTCCTCTCAAAATTACTTTTTTTTGTCAAGTTGTGCTTAGTCTGTGTTCTGCAAAGACAGCTAGCATTTCACTGCATACGTCCTCTAGTAAGTTCTGTAATAGAAGCAGACAGAATTGCATGACAAGTTGGTTGTGTTGGTTTAAAATCTAAGATCACAGGGTTTTTTTGCTGTGAAGTAAATAAGCTTTTGGTTTGATTACTAGATTACTTTCAGACCATGTTGAATGCTTGTAATTAGGAATAGATTTTATTTAAGCTGTCTCACAAGTTTGAAAAATGTATTCTTCCAGTACACTCATGAGAAGTGTAATAGTGTAAAGCCAACATGTGTTGCATATGTGAGGGTCTGTACTGAAAGGCTGTATATGAGATGTTGGGTTTTAGTGGTGTGGTTTTTTTTGTTTTCTTCTTTCTATTGTGTTTTAGCCTGATGTGGAAGTGGAAACTGTTTCACTCCCTACCTCTCCACCTGCTGGGCTCAGAACTTTGGATCCTCTGCCACTTAGGCAGGATCATTGGCCTCCTAACAGTGTTTCTGATGAGCGAGTTCCTCTTGCTTCAGCCCATCAAGAGCGTTCCTCTACACCTCCTGTGCTGAAGTCAGCCAAAAGCTTCTTTGTGCCTTGCTGGAGTCCCTCTCGTCGTATTCGAGGGACTCTCAAAGATCCAGAATTCCAGCATAACAGTGAGTTTTGTGTATTAGCTGGATGTTTTAGAGTGCTGCAGGATGAAAATGGCTACTGTGCAGTGCTCAGACCAAGAGAGTGCTGAGCTTGCTGCTTACAGACTCTACAAAGAATGTGGTGTTTATAAATAAAGGTTTCTTTATGTTTCGTCTTGCTGAGGAAATGTACACAAATCTCCACCTTAGTTTCAGATTCCACTAATACCATTGTATTCTAGTGGTCTGTTGTCTAATTTTGCCTCATTAATTTCAATAAGTACTTGCTCATTATGAGAATGATTTGGTTTAGCATGAACAGTTGTAATTTTTAATCTTCAGGCTACAACTGGATGCTGTGACACTTTTCCAGCTACAGTTACCAACAGTGGTGTGTAACTGGGGACCTTTGCAGTGGTATTATTTTGCAGGAGTTGTAGATTTCTGAGAGATAAGCTCCTTAAATATTTCTGCAGGATACGGGGGGAAAAAAAAAGGCCATCTATAAAAGATTCATTGGCTATTGAGAAAAGCCTTGGCTTCCTCCTTGGCTGAGGAGACATTTGCCCTTGAGTGTTTCAAAGATGTTTAACGATGTTTAGGGGTACTGGGGACATGAATTTGATAAAGAAAATAAATATTCACCTCTTAGTCAAAATAAAGTTTATGTGCTTAGGTCTCCATTCCTGAAAGACTTTCTAGAGCTGCTTAAAGTCCCACAATTCTTGGTAAAGAATTAGCTTGGTAAAGGTTAGCTAAACTACAGCAGTATTTCCATTCTAGAATGGAACAGGTAATTGTCAGGTTAAGTGGGATAGTGAAATCCAGAGAATTTCCTCGGAAAGAAGTTGACATCAGTGCTGTGTTCTAGCAGTTCACTAAGTAACTTGTAGCATCTACCAAAGATAGATGCCTTGAGACATACAGTGGAGTAAGTTTGTTTTACCTCATCTTAGAGGTGAAGGTTTTAGTATGTTTGCTATTTATAAGACTCATATTTTGTAAATAATATTGTAACATTTTAAAATGTCCTAAAATGAAATATTATCCTTTGTCTGTTTTGAAATGATTCAGAACTGTGCCTTTGGCTTTTTTGTCTTAGGGAATGTGGGCAATCCAAAAATGAGAACTTTCCAGTTACCTCTTCAGGAAAGAAACTATAATGACGAAGGTATTTATTGTCCCAAAGTATTATTGTATATCATGTGTGTATTACCTAGTTTAATTTTAACTTTTGCACTAATGTGAGAGGTTTCTGAATGCAGTAAGTAATACTGATTTATGTGTTTGCATGAATATTGACTGCATTGTTTCATCAAAATAATTTGAAAATATTCATCCTAGGAATCTGAACTATGAATATGAACCTTCATATTCTAGTATGAATAAACCATTAAATGTGGTTGAAAATTAAATAGACCATTGTGGCTCAATATGGTTAATTCAGCTTGCTCAGTTCCATACCTAAAATAATTTCCTTCCCACACATTATTTTAAGCTTTTTTGTTGATAGCAACAGAAGCAAATTGCAAAATGTTCACAGCCCAGATTGCAGCTGCAGTAAGTTTGGATGCAACTTAAAAGATACCGGAAATCCTAAGATCGAGATTTTGCTTGTGAGACTTCAGCACCAGCTAAGCAGCATAAAATAATTCCTCTGACTTTAGTTTTCTCACCTGTTCCTCTGTTCAGTGTATTAGGGGTACTTACAGCAGCATCCTGTTACTCTAATTGCTGTTTTGGCCTTTTTTTCTGCTTACTATAAAGTTAATCTGGGGGAGCAGCCAATGCGCAGCTCACCAGTGCATCTTTCTGGCCCTTTTGTGGGCAGACACAAATCAACTCTTTTCAGTAGTATGAGTCAACCAAAGGCACTGTAGCCTCATTAACTTGAGCTGCCGTACATTGTTTTTTTCCTTAGCATAGTGTTGGTTGGTGAGGTTGAGCTTGGTGTGGTGCTGTGCTAGTTGGCAGTCACCTGTGTTTGGATTAGATTAAAGTATGGGCGGAGCAGGCTTATATCTGATTGCAGTTTATTTATAGAGATAACCCAGAGCAACCAAAACCTTTTTTTATGTACCCTTTATGCTTGTTTACTCCTTGGTTTTAACCAAGGTTCAGGCCAACTCTCTATTTTACTCATTGCACTTGGCTGGAAAATGTGTGGGTTTTGCAGATGGCTCAGCCAAGCATCTGTATATCTACAGAAAACATGCAAAATCCTATAGTACTCTGCAGCTTCCCCCAAGCTTGCTGCACACAGATTAAATGCTGTAGCTACTTGCTCTTTTTCTTTTTTTTTTTCCTAAGAGCCAAGTGGTGATGTATGAGCTTTCAGAAACAGGTGCAGTGTGCCAGCTCACAGATATTTCACATGCCCATATTTGTTCATGTGCATACAAACCTGGGAGTTATTCCAATGACCTGTCTGTCTGCAGAAGTGCAGTTAGCAGTTGTCTTATACATGGGAATATAGTTGTTATGCACAGTGTGTGAGCCCGTTACGGGCTGTTTGGATCACTGTATTTCAAGTATTTAGGAATGCTGCTGAAAAGACACTGACAAAGTACGGATCCTGTTAGGATTGTGTATTGAATGTTTTGTTGGTAGGGGGGCTGGAAACTAGTAATACAGTTCTTTTTAATCCATTGCAGGAGAATGGGTTTAATTAAGGTCATTTTTCATAGAGAGCATCTTGACAGAGCTGTAGCAACATTTTAATAATGGTGTTGAAGAAGTATAATGTTATGCTTTATCAGAGAAGCAGCATCCAGGTTGTGTAGTTTTAAGAGTTCTGTTGGCTGTGAAGTGGACCCTGTATTCGAAAGAAAGACGTTTCAAAAGTACATTTTAAAAGCATGTTTCTTGTCTTTGTGTTAAACTTCCTGTTTTCTTCAGAAGACACATTTCTTTTAACAGCTTGTGGCACAATAGATGGCTTTGGTACAGAAAGGCTCTTTCGGCAACATAGGTTCTGATATTTTAGTCATGTGTTACTCTAAGGTTGTCTGCTTTGCTTGAAGTGGTGGGATGCTTTCATGGATGTTATTATGAGAATCTAGTCTATACAGAATTCAGTGGAAGAGGAACGATTTCTGAGGTCTGATGCAGGAGAGTAAATGTAATAATGACTTGGAGAATTGGGCTATTTCCAGGTAAGAGTAGGGATCACATTTCATCAACAGTTGCACATGTGGCTGCCTTAAACTTACCTAATCCTAATAGGTTTCTAGTGAGATTGTTACCAAGTAATAGAATTAAAGTGTATTGTGGTACTGTTTGAGCATCCACTGTGAAAGAAGCCATAAAAATGTTTGCACTTTCAAAGTCTGCCATGAATGTCAACTGTGTTTTAAAATATATATTTAATCTTCCTTTTACTTTTTCCCTTGTTGCTTTCCCCACAGATGACAGGCTGTCTCAGATTTCTGCTCGCTCAGCAGCATCTAGCTCACTTGCATCTCAGATACTGGAACGAGCTCAGAAGAGGAAAGATTTCTGGGGCAAGACATAATCTGTCCCACCTGCTGTATAGAAACTGTTCTGTAAAATGATTTATTTTTTATAGTTTGTAATGTACATTTAAAAAAAATGTAATTTTAAGTATCATGCAGCATCCTTTCACTTATCACTAAATGACCCAATTTTTAGGACTTGGCATCCCAAGTTAAAATTTCAAAATTTAAACTACTGTTGATATGTAGGTCCTTTATGTCTGAGAGTTATGTCTTAATTCACTATGTCACAATAGCCATGTGGGGGTTTATTTTTTTTACAGTTGCACTTGTTGAAACTGAGACAACTATTTTTTATGCAACCTGTGTGTTCCTTTTCAAGATATTCAGCTGCAGTCATGCAGTATGACCTGGGACAGTATTCAGGGCAACACCATAATTCATCAACCACCTCAGCTGCTTGATTTTAACCAACTCTTTTAAAGGTGGTTGTGGTATATTTGTTTGTTACTCTGTGAATTGTCAGCACAACACAGTTGTGTAACTAAAAGTTACTACTTACTGCTTTTAACCTGTTACCAAAAAATTATTTCTTAATGAAGCTAACACGGAACATACAAGAGTTTGAGAAAAGGACATTAAGCTTTAGGGTTTGTTTATTGTCCACAGTTTTTTGACCAGGATGACTATCATAACTGTACATATATAAACAGTACTGCAGTTTGCCAGATGTACTGATGTGAACATTTGTCTTTCTGTGTGGGCAAGACCTGTGTTTAGTGTTGATTTCAACATCTCTAGAAAAAGCAACCTCAGCCACCTTAAACAGTGGCCTTCCCCAGCCCCACTTGAAACTCAGGTGTTCAGGAGTAGTAGATCTCTTAAACTCAGAAGAGTGTTTTTTCTTGACTTCGACATTTCAGTTACCTCTCCTTCTAGTTGCCTGTTTCTGGGCAGCTGGAATACTGTTATGATTGTCACAGTGAAAAATGTTTGTGGTTTATGCTGACAGCTGGTTTTGTTGTTCCAAGCAATGTAAACAAGTTAACATGAAGTAGAGGAAATAGGTGGCTAGCAGGCAGTTTGGTTGTTCTTGTGTGGTTTCAGGATTTAATATTACTTCATTTGGAAATTTTATACAAGAACAATTTGAATTTTGTACATATTTACTTACATTTTGATTTTGTACACAATTATGTACACGTATTACTGAAAATAAAAATGGTTTTTTGATTTGTTTCTATTCAAGTTATGCCAGATAAATTGGTGGAACCTCTTATGTTGGCACTTCTCCATTTAGTTCTCTGTCTTACCTGTTCAGCTGGAACATCTGTGAACTTCTGAAAGACAAGATGTTACCTTGGAACTGATCTTCAAAAAGAACAGGTTACTAAAGCCAGATACGATGATACTTGGAATCGCGACCCAGAGCAGATGGGTGCTACACAGGCTGGGAGGCTGCAATGCCAAGAGGGCCAATCCCTAAGAAATGAGGTGTTGATTTAAAGAATGAGTGCTAGAAAACAGTGTCCACTTCTCTCAGAAATTGTGCATTGCGGTAGCTTCCTACCACTGGAGTTGTTTGAAACAAGTCAAGATATTTTATTTTAAATAGAGGACTTCTGGAAGTGTTCTGCTGCATGCACTTAATCACAGAATCACAGAATGTTAGGAGTTGGAAGGGACCTCGAAAGATCATCCAGTCCAACCCCCCTGCCAGAGCAGGATCACCTAGACTAGGTCACACAGGAACATGTCCAGACAGGTTTTGAATGTCTCCAGAGAAGGAGACTCCACAACCTCTCTGGGCATCCTGTTCCAGTGCCCTGCCACCCTTACAGTAAAAAGGTTTTTCCTCATGTTCACATGGAACCTCCTATGCTCCAGCTTGCTCCCATTGCCCCTTGTCCATTTGACATCAGAGAGAAGAGCCTGGCTCCTTCCTCTTGACACTCACCCTTTACAAATTTATAAACATGAATGAGGTCACCCCTCAGTCTCCTCCAAGCTAAAGAGACCCAGCTCCCTCAACCACTCCTCATAAGGGAGATGCTCCACTCCCTGGATCATCTTTGTGGCTCTGCACTGGACTCTTTCAAGCAATTCCCTGTACTTGAACTGAGGGGCCCAGAACTGAACACAATATTCCAGATGCGGTCTCACCAGGGCAGAGTAGAGGGGAAGGAGAACCTCTCTCGACCTACTAACCACACATCTTCTAATACACCCCAGGATGCCATTGGCCTTCTTGGCCGCATGGGCACATTGCTGGCTCATGGTCATCCTGCTGTCCACCAACACCCCCAGGTCCTTTTCTGCCTGGCAGCTTTCCTGTAGCGCTGCATGGGGTTATTGCGACCAAAGTGCAGGACTCGGTACTTGGCCTTGTAGAAGCTCATACAGTTGGCCTCAGCCCATTGATTCAGCCTATCCAGGTCCCTCTGCAGAGCCTTCCTACCCTCAGGCAGATCAACACTCCCTCCCAACTTGGTGTCATCTGCAAACTTGCTGAGGAAGCACTCAATCCCCTCATCCAGATCATTGATAAAGATGTTAAAAAAAGATGTTGATGAGTTAAAGATGTTAATACATAAGTTATAGTTGGCCAGAAAGTCTCTACTCAAAGGGAAACTATTTGTGTGCAACTGTCTTTTTGAAAATTGCCAGTTTTCCTCTAAAATTATGGTTTTATAGTGGAAAAAGTAAGGGCTAAACAATGGAACTTTTTTTTTTTTAAGAAGGGATTGTTCCTGCAGTGTATTGTGGGTGGGTTAATTTGGGCGTCTTCTGTGCACCTTCTTCATTTTCAACATGTTCTCATGGGTCTCATGGCCAAGAGCTCTTATCATCCATTACTTCTTCTCTGTGGTACCTGTAATTTGAGTTCTATGAACAGTGTCCTCTTTTGAAATAATTTATTTTTGTTTTGCTAGGTTTTCCTGGGATTCCTGGCTATTAGACAGGTCTGTTAAGAGTTTTTGTGCAGGTCTGCTTTTGAGGCCTGCAAGTCATAGATAAAATAATAACGTATATGCCAATTTTGCTTACAATATTGTACCATGAGTCTGGTGTAGCTCTAAATTTGTTATATGTGTGCTGTATGGTACATGTACATTGATTTCTGCCACAGGAACAATAAAAGTGGTAAAGGAGGGAGACATTATTGTTGCATGAGGTTACAAACCCGACTTAGAGATGACAATGGAAGCTCCTGGTGTCCCACACATCATCATGACATTATTTCCCATCTGACCAAACTTTAGGTTTTGATTGAAATGTTCTAATTGAATTTACTTTTGGACAGAAGTATTTAAGGGAAATGTAGACAAAATACCTTTTTTGAGTAATTCTGTTGTAAAGCTTCTGAGGGAGGCTCTTCTGTATTCTTCAAGGCAGATACAAAATTCTTTGCGCCTGCTTTCTGCTATTGTTTATCTAGTTCGAGAGGGTTTTTTGTTTTGTTCTTCTGGATGTTTCAGTCCAACCTTCAAACATGTATCCTGTTGTGTTTTCCAGCAAGCTGAACATGGAAAAAAGGTTCAAAAGTGCACCCTTTATTAATAATTACAGATGCGTGCTGTACAGTGAATGGGTATTGTTTTCTGTCAAGGAAATCTTGGAAGCCTTGAAGAGAAGAGACCAAGTAGATAGACAAGGAGGAAGACTGTTGCCAATAGGATATACATCTAAGGAATAAACAGCTTTGGGAGCTTGTCAACTTAAGGTCAAGAGTTACAAAATCAGCATGTGAATAGTGGACCCATTTATTTGGATAATAAACGTTGAAGTGAATGTCTTCAGCTCATTCCCAAGTTGGGTATACCTGCTGGCTGAGTCTCGCTGCTGGGGGCTCACTGCTCTCAACCACCTGCAGAAGTTAATGAGCCATCTCTTCCTCACTGACCACTGCCAGCTGGGAAGAGACCTTTCTTTATCCAGTATTCCTGCCAATAAAGTGTTCTCCCAGCAAGCCCACAAAGAAGAGACCTGATTCCAGTCTGTTGCTTCTCATGTCTTGCCAAATAATAAGCCTGTTGCCTATCTGTGGCAAGAGCGAGCTCTCTGTTTCTTGTATTGAATCCATTGTATTAAAATGGTTGCTGGCTTAGGGATTGGAACAAAGATCTCCCTGTTCCCAAGCTGCACTTGCTCTAGCATCCTCCTCCTCTTTCTGGCCA